GATTATGTGCTTGGACTCTGGAGCAGATTACCTGAGACTCAACCCTGGTTTTGCCTCTTCTTGTGTGAGCATACGGCAACTTAAACTTTGTGTGTCTTGGTTTTCTCAGCAAAATAATAACACCCGTCTCATGATGTGAGTAATTGTCCCACCAGCCATAGTTATGTTGTATGTATGTGTCCGCGCAAAATCTAATGCTGACGTAAATGCATGGGAGTGAATTACATGGAAATTTTAAAATCCTGTATTTATGCCTCAAGCAGTATAGCTCTTTGTTTATCTAAGAAATTCATATTTGATTATAAGCTGTTAGTGACAGTTAATGAATGAACTGTGTTGAATTTGGCGGTTATGTATGTATACCTCTCAGAAGCTTACTTCTCTTGATATTTGAATAAAGAAACTATTCTCATGAATTCTGACTTACTCAGTTCAAGTAAGGTTTCTAGAGGATGACTGGTCTTGATCATCATGTTTATACCTTAAACGAAAGGTTTTTAAACCCTGACCACACATTAGAAGCAGACCAGTTGAATTGGAAAATTTGGAGGTGGAGCTCAGGCACTGGTATTTTTTAAAAGCTCCCCAAGATGATTTTAATGTGCAGACAGAATAGAGAACCACTGGCTTAGTCATCAGTAATTAAAATGTATATTCCTATCATTTAGTTTCTGACATTCATATTTAATTTTCTCATGTTTAAGTAAATAAAATGACATGGCTATTTACAGGTATTTCTTTAAAGGAGGATGGATGTATGGTTTCCGTTAATTCTATAGCAAATGGATCTGTGCCATAAAGGAGAAAGGAGAAGTTTGTTTTTAAATTGTGTGAAGCTGTGTCTGTTTTTGGCATGATGAAGTGCTGTCAATATTAAACAATATAGAATCCCAGAATGTTCAAGGTAAGAGGGACCCTCAAGGCATCTAGTAGAAGCAGGGTACACTTTGAAGCCTGTCCTGGCCTGCCGTGGTTTATTCACTTACTAGCTTTGTGATCATGGGATATTCACTTAACCAGTCTGAGCCACAACTTCTTGATCTCTAAAATTGAGGTGAGCGTCTGCTCTGTCTGGTGACAAGTGTGTTTCCTGTGCATGCACGCATCTTGATTCCCTGCCTCCTGCCTGATCCCCAGGTCCATCTGGTGCGGATCTCCAGAGCAGGGACTGTGCCGGAGGCTCCGCGGGGCTGCCTGAGCCTGCAGGGCCAGCTGCTGGGAACGGCTTCCTCCCACTCCTCAGGGACCACTTCCTTGGCTCTGCTGGGACTGTTTCATGGCTGGCTGTTTGGATCCCATGACCTTCTGTGAGCTTCACATTTAATCTGCAGGGTCAGCACTGTTGGCCAAGCAGAGTGAAGCTGTTCCCGAGACTAGAGATGAAGACAGCTCCCGGTGGCTACGTGATGGCAGCTTCTGAGTACCTTCTGTTTAACCCCAGACTATCCATGTGCAGGACCCAGACAGCTGCCTCGTCTGTCCAGCGGTCTTCCTGTCCAGTACTTCTTGGTGTTGAGCAGGGACAATAGGAAACCCACTATCTCTCTCTCTCTTAGTTTGGGGTGTGCAGAGAAGAATCACAGATCTCTTTGATTGTCTTTTTGTGAACGGAAGAGTGGATTTTTGTCTTTTTTCCCATCCTTGTCGCTCAGATCCTCCAGCATCTGGCTATGAAATTATAAGGCCACCTGGTTCTTCTGTTGCACATTCTTTGTGTCTTAGGAAGGCGGTCCATGGCTTGTTTCTTCTTGTAACGCTTAATGCTTGGGGTCCTGATCTCAGCTGTGGTGCCTCGGTGTCCTTCCCACTTGTAAGCCTGCTTTCTAGGTCTGTCCTCAATCTTCATTTTCCAAAATTCTGCTTTTATCATCATCTCTGGACTGATCTGAAGTTTTCATTGGAAATATTTATACTTTCTGCTGCCATTTTTTTAAATTGTTTCTTCTGTCTGCTGAAATTGACATTCTCTTACGGGTAGCAGTAATGGCAGCTTTATTGATTTTTTTAGGTGATAAGGATCTTGAAACATAACACTTGGGGGGTGGACGGTCTAACTTGACCGTCTAGCTCCTCCACTAGACTACAAGACTCTTGAGGGTAGGAGCCATGTTTTTCAGCTGAGCATATCGTAACTATCATTTATTATGTATCTACTGTGCACCAGAGACTTTGCTTTATTTGAATTAATTTCCATAAAAAATAATGTCTACACGAGGAATTGTATCTCAGAGAGCTTAAGTAAACTGCACAAGGTCATCTAGCTAGGGAGTCACAGAGCTGGATTTTGAACTCAACTTTGATATTAAATCTTCTTTTCTAAAATCGTGTTTCTAAACTCCCTCTTCAAGGAAGGGACAGATACAGGTACAAGGAATGGGATCTTGGCCCGCGGACCTGTTGAGTAGGGGACAGGTGTGGAGTTGCATTCTTAAAGAAGAAAAGGTCTGCCTATCTTCAAAGCCCCCGTTTTTCCTGCTAATTCGCTGACTTGCATCACTGGTGCACGCAGACACTAAGAAGTGTACCCTACGACTCTCCAGGCAGAAGTCGCCCCTGTGGAAGGCTTTGGCCCCCATGTGGGTCTTCACTTCATGCTATTTTATTCAGGTCAGAGAGACACTGAGATTTCATGAAGATGTCTCTCACCAATAAGAGCCATTGGTTGAGCAGTCAGGCAAACTCTGGAGAGAATTCACTGAATCCACGGTGATAAGATGTTCTGGGGAGTCAGGTGTGTGTGGAAGTCAGCCGTGGCTTGCTGACGAGGAGGAGACACTCAGCACTCAGCTTCCGGGCTCGTGGTTTAGACCCTCAGAACGTGCCCACTGGCTTCGGCAAGCCACAGGAAGTATATAAATGCTTTCCCGAGTTGAAGCTTTGTCAGATATGCCCAGAGAACGTTTTCTTTTTAATGTATTTGGAAACTATAAATTTAACTCCTGCTGGGGAAGAAAAGTAATTGCTTCACAAAAGAAAAAAAGCTCTTTAAAAGGCTCCACTCCTCTTACAAACATGTGCTTTTTAATGACTGGGAAATTCCTGGTGCAGGAAAAAAAATGTCCTTTTGTACAGATGAGGTCATTTTGGTCTTTACTGGCCCTGTGCACTCGAGTTCCTGCTTTCTGTTCCATGTTTTGTGACCAGAGGTTATTGGACGGATAATCCCTCTGTGCATATTCACTGCTTTTAGGGCACGTTGCCAAAGAGAAAGTTATCTTAGCTCACCAACTGCCAAGCCAGTGCAAGAGGCCCCGATCCCAGGGGTACTGAGCCAGTGACTGATAATGACTTGGTTTGGGTTGGCCTCGCGTCGAGTTTTGTGAAAGCACACTTTTCCTGTGCACTAGGCCTGCTGTGTCCGCTTCGTCCTCCTTAGATTTCTCAGCAGCTCCATTAGTTCTCGGTTCGGACATGATTCTTTTTCCTTAGGTACATTCTATTTACTTTACTTTGATTCCATCCCGAAGAGCAGAGACATCTGTACCAGTTTGAAGCCTCCTGTTCATCTTTTTAACATGATATAAATGAAAAACAGCTGTTGAAAGCATTCACCCGGTACCTATTTCCTTGAACATTGGGAGGCTGATTCCTCCTAAAATTAATTTCTGATTTGGTTTGGCTAAAGGGAAGCCTTAGATTTGCTCAGTGAAGGGGTAGCGTAGAATAGATTTCAGTGGATGCCCTTGATTTAATCGAAGTTCACTTTCCTCTGGCTTTAGAATAACCCTTTCCTGCCAAGATGGAGGCCAAAACTTGGAAGAGTATTGGGTAGGGAGGTTGCTACCTCTGTCCTGGATGTTTTCATAGAGAGGTGAATAGGGAAAGTGTTCAAGGGAACCTGGACAACAACCTCTGCAGTCTTTTTTAAATTGCCTGTTTTTAAGACAGCGACCTTTCTAGACCTCATCCAGGTTCGTGTGGTTCATCAGTGGCAGCCCATGAGAATGCCAACTGTCTGAGGCCTCACATCTCGAGAATAGAATGTCAGAGTCCTTAAGTTCCCCTAAAATTCATCCATGGCTGTAATGAATCAATCTTTTGATAAGCCTATGATAGATTATGCTCTGCCCGATTGACTCTGCATTTTTATATTTAAAAAATTCCACTCTTGCCACTGAAAATTAGGTTCTTACCACATTTCTTAATTAAATCTTTGTTCTGGGATCTTCACGGCTCCCTGGGTCAGAAACTCCAAGCTCAGGCTCTGTTGCCTAAGTAAGTCTAAGAAAAATGTCTTGATCTGGAATTAAGAAAGGCTATCTTTAGCTGTCATGGAGAGGAGAGGGTTCTACTGTTCGGTCAGGAATGACTTAGATATTTGCCACAGACGCCATTTCTTTTTTTCTTTAAAATTTTTTATTGTTATGTTAATCACCATACATTACATCATTAGTTTTTGATGTCGTGTTCCATGATTCATTGTTTGCGTGTAACACCCGGTGCTCCATTCAATACGTGCCCTCTTTAACACCCATCACCAGGCTAACCCATCCCCCCAACCCCCTCCCCTCTAGAACCCTCAGTTTGTTTCTCAGAGTCCATTGCGCAGACCCCATTTCTTGCCCAGAGCACTTGTGGCCCCTCCACGAGGCTTTGGAACCCTTGCCTGGAATCTCTTGGGTCCTTGAAGAAGTCAGGTTTGACCTGGGCATGGCGCACGTTTCTTTCAGTACACCTCCCCTCCGTTGCCCCCAAGGCCTTGGTTTATTGTTGGCAGCCAGTGGATGTTTTATTGAAACTAAGACCCGGTATGAAAGAATTGGAAAAAATATGGCCAGGAAACGCTATCATACTTGAAACCGAGAAATTCTGGGTAATTGCTGAGTGCCTCGTATTAGTTCCCGTGGGGAAAATACATGGCAAAATGTGTAATGGGTTAATATTGTAAAGCGAAAACGCGTCTGAGATCAATCAGAAGGTATATAGCTGCCTCTGATGCTCAGAATGGGAATGGCACTGATTTGCTGATAATATATTTTATTATTATTATTATTCTCCAGCCTCAGATGATACAGCAGACTCTCAAGAGGACCCTGCAGTATTATGAGCACCAAGTTATTGGGTAAGTAAAATGGATTTTGGTCATTATTTGGGGCAAATTAAAGATAATTACTCAAGCATAGCTGTTGATCGTGTGGTTTTCTGCCACCTAGGTGGGTCTTATTTCACACTGGCTGTGCTCCGAGGGTGGGCTGGGGGCTCATCGGGACCCCTACAGTGATTTCCTTTGGCCTGTTTGTGTTTAATCCTTTTCAGTGAAATTCCCTTTTAGTGTGGCCTTTCCTTTTTGTGTTATTACCCTCTTATTCCCATCCATTGAATCTGGTGATTTTGCCCTGGGATTACACTAAGGTTTAATGGTACCAACGGAGAGGCTTTAAATGGGATTTTAGAATTCTTTAGTAAAGTTTACTCAAAGTCATTACAAGCCTAATGGTTTGGCGAGAGGCATTGGTTTAGAGTCACATGCTACCTAGTTTTCTTTCATCTTCCATTTCTTGACATCGTTGTGATACGGGGTAAAGAAGACAAGATGAAGAAACAGGAGCTCACGGCCTCACCAGCACGTAGAACTTTGAAGTAACTTCACCTGTTTTGCAAAGGGTGACGATGATGGTAACAACTAATTGAGGATTAGATGCCATGGGTAAATGAGGTCATTTTTTTTTTTTTTATTAACATACAATGTTATTTGTTTCAGAGGTACCGGTCTGTGATTCGTCAGTCTTACACAATTCACAGCGCTCACCATAGCACACACCCTCCCCAATGTCCATCACCCAGCCACCCCATCCCTCCCACCCCCCACCACTCCAGCAACCCTCAGTTTGTTTCCTGAGATTAAGAGTCTTATGGTTTGTCTCCCTCTCTGGTTTCGTCTTGTTTCATTTTTCCCTCCCTTCCCCTATGATCCTCTGTCTTGTTTCTCAAATTCCTCATATCAGCGAGATCATATGATAATTGTCTTTCTCTGATTAACTTGTTTCACTTAGCATAATACCTTCCAGTTCCAACCAAGTCGCTGCAAATGGCAAGATTTCATTTTTTGATGGCTGCATAATATTCCATTGTCTATATATACCACATCTTCTTTATCCATTCATCTGTTGATGGACATCTAGGCTCTTTCCATAGTTTGGCTGTTGTGGAATTGCTGCTATGAACATTGGGGTGCATGTGTCCCTTTGGATCACTACATTTGTATCTTTGGGGTAAACACCCAGTAGTGCAGTTGCTGGGTTGTAGGGTAGCTCTTAAATGAGGTCATTTCAAGGAGCATATTCTGTACATAAAAAGCTCCAAATAAGTGTAGGTGTACTTTCGATTGGCTATGGGAGGAAGCAGTTGGAAATACAGAAGCCTAAATTCACTTTCTGATGCAATCTAGCTTAAAATAAAGGAATGAAACTCATGGACAGGAGAGGTGGTGCATACTTTAAATTCACATCGTTCATGTTCTGTATGCACTACCAGTATTTATTTGTGTAAGATTGTAAGAACTTTTGAGGAGTTAAGATCCAAACCCTGATACCTCTTGAAGTGCTGTCGAGCATCATTTAACATTTGGGGCTAATAGTCAATGCCATGGGGATTAAGGATGCATTTTTGGTTATTGGGATATAGTGTGATTTTTTTTTAAGCAAAAACAAGAAAAGAAAATGGTGGAAAAATAATCTCGGTACCTAGTACAATTCTGTATACCTTAAGTACTTGGTGATTATGTTAACTGTCATTTCAAAGGGAATTGCTTTGAAACGTTGTCACATCAATTCTCAAAAGTGCAGTACTAGGAAAAGCATATTATTTAAACTCATGAGATGGCTTTTAATTTGAGGCCATTTGTGATTTTAAATGGTTTATCCTAACGGAGGTAAATGATGTCAAATTAATCTCTCCCCACATATTCTAAAATAAAACTTAATCACTCTGCTGCTTCCACAGTGTGGTATTTGGATTAAATTTTAGCCAATATATTTGGAACAGTTTCCTGTGTGTGGTGAGCACTATGTATTTGTTTGCTTTTATGTTTATTATTATTTTTAATATTATAAGACAATACCAGTAATCTAATGCAAAGCATTTCCTGGAATAGTGAATGCCCTCTCTGTTTTGAAAAGAAATCATAACTGGTCCAAGTCTCATTTGCGAACCAAGCTATGTCTTCACGGCAAATTGGAATGGGAGTCTTAGAACTATGATCAGAAGAGGTAACTAAACTATATTATCATAATCAGCAGAAGATTCTTTTTTCCATTAGTAACATGTGACGGAAAAGACATTAGGGTTTGAAGCCCAAAGAATTCTTGAGACATCTTTGGTCCAAAAAGGTGGTTTTATTAAAGCACGGGGACAGGACCCGTGGCCAGAAGGAGCTGCATCGGGCTTGTGAGGAGTGGGCTAATTATATACTTTCAAGCTGGGAGGGGTTTAGGGAGAGCGTAAGTCTCAAAGGAATTTTGGAAGCAAGCTTTCCAGGACCTTGAGGGGGCTAGCTGTTGTTAGGAAAAGGGCGTTTATTACTGTCTAATAAAACCTGAGTCATGAGACCCTTCAGATGTTTATCAGTGGGTCACATGCTTGGGAGATGATTGCCAACATGTATGTTGGTGGGTAGAGCTAAAGGAAGTTTCCAAAGGAATTTTTATATGTTAAGATAGACTTCCAGGATCCTGGGGGTTGGGCTAAGATTGTCTTTTGCCCTTAGCAAGGCATTGACATCTAGGCCGCTGAGTCCCTAGAGGAGTGTCACTCTGCTGGTTTCAAGGACTTGTCAATGGGCTGTAGATAGTAAGGACATTTAATAATTTCTTTTCTGCCTCTGTTTCCCACATCAAGATGGAGTTCTTTTCTATCTAACTCACTGCCTCAACTCTCCTGTTTGCTTTGTGTACACCAAGCCTGTGGTGATTCGTGGCCCCAAAATGGTCTTTTCTAGTTCTGCTTCTTCCAGACACAGTGTAAAGAAAACAGCGCACGTGACTCGGACGATGAAGAGGTGTCTTGATGTCCGGCCGGTTCCAAAGAGGCCTGTGAACACATTTTCACCTGGGTGTGGGCTGCTCACTGCCCTTAGTCACGTGCATGCCCATGAAGAGAAAACCAGCGGGTTAGCCGCAGTATTGTGACGTTTGCCTTTCGTGACTTGGTCTTCCCTCTTCTGCCTGTCTTGTTAACCCTGTCCACCTCCCTCTCTCTGCTGTTTCTCTTTATTACTGAAACAGGAGAGCATCTATTATGATGAGCACTTGAATTAAGTATCCACACCTGTGTGCAGCTCCTCTTGGGAAGACACAGGTAAGGCTCTTTATCTCTAACTAAAAAGGAATGTGTTCCTTCCAGTTAAAGGGATTTCAGGCAATTGATAAGAAGTGCTGAGTATTGGTTTCCATAGTTCTGGGGGGCGGGGTGAGGATGGGACAGAGGTGGTTTTCCAAATCCCTAAAGCAGGGCTTTGCCTAAGGTTTGTCTTGAAGTAATTCAGCTTTTAGGTGCCTTAGGCTATGAGGATGAATCAGGATGCATAACAAGGAGTATGAGCTAGCCCTTCTTTTTTTTTAATTTTTAAAGATTTTTATTTAAAAATTTATTTCTTATAAAACATTTATTTTAAAATTTTATTTTTTAAATAAAAAATTTAAATTCCAGTTAGCAGTGTGATAGTAGTTTCCGGTGCACAATACAGCAAGTCAGCACTCCCATCAATCACCCGGTGCTCATCACCACAGGTGTGCTCCTTCATCCCCATCACCTGTTTCCCCCCACCCATCTCCCCTCTGGTCACCATCAGTGCTTCCTCTGTAGTTAAGAGTCTGTTTCATGGTTTGTCTCTCTCTTTCAGCTCCCTTGTTTTGTGTCTTAAATTCCATATATGAGTGAAATCATGTGGTATTTGTCTTTGACTGACTTGTGTCCCTTAGCATGATATTCTCTAGCTCCATCCATGTCCAGAAGGGCACTAACCCTCCTGTTTTTAATTTAAGTCAGCCTCTAATTACCGGCCTCCCAGCCTCCCTCTTCTCTCCTTTAAACGGCCCTTGGACCTGCTTTATTTATCCGAGCCTCGGGATTGTCTACTGCTCCTTGGTGCGTTCTCACATCAGTAGTTCATAGAAACTCTCTGAGGCTTTTTAGCCTCCACGATGTAGACTAGAATGCAGGGAGCAGCTGTTCAAAGGATCACACAGATGGAGGACTGGGAGGGAGTAACCCGTGGCACCTCTGTCAGGGAGTGAGACAGCCTCTCTGCGCCCCAGGAACTTTGTCTTTAAACATTTGTTCTGTTCCTCAACTTGTCCAATCTCTCATTCACGGATTTACTCATAGAGACCATTCAAGTTGTTTGCACTGTCAACCGCAGCTTCTAGATCCAGACCCCGATCTAGTGTTGTGGCTTCTACCCCGTCCCTCAACATGGCGTGTCCACCACCGTAAAGTGGTAAACAGATTAGATCATGCCCTTTTCTCACGTCGGACCACCGGTTCTCAGGTGTTAACATGCATTAGAACCACCTGCAGGTTTGTTAAAACCCAGATGGCTGGACTCCACCCCCAGGGCTTCTGACCCCGTGTACCCCATGCGCGCAGAGTGACGTTTCTAGCCGGTTCCCAGATAACCTTGCTGACTGACGCTGTGGGGCCAGGTATTACGCTGTGACATCCCTGCTTTCAACCATGTCATGACTTACTGTGATAGACCAAAATCTGAGCTGTTCCTGTGATCTGCCTTCACTCACCTCTCTGTTACCCCCTCCACTTCCCCCTTCACTTCCTGCCTGCCCGGCCAGGCGGCTGTGGGTTTCCCAACTCCTGCTTAGCCTCAGGTCTTGGCATATACCATTCCATTTTCCTGGAATGGTCTGTCCCCATGTGCGCATGGGTTACTTTTTTTATACGTTCAGGTCTCTGGTTAAATGTCATTATCTTCAGAAAAATGTACTCTGGCCACCCAATCTAGAGAGACCCTCCATCCCCTACTTCCATCTCCAACCCTGATCATTTTGTATTCTATTCTTCTCTGTTATTCCTTATCGCAGTGCTTATCAGAGCTTGTTTTGTTGACTTATCTAAATGATTTATCTCTATGTTCCTATGCCTTTGTAATTGCTTGGTTCATAGGAGGGACTAACATGGTTTTTTTGGGGGGAGGGGGGAGTGTGAATAAATGAAAGAAATGCACCCTGAAGGTAAATACACAGAGGTGTGTGTACAGTGGATAAAAGAGTAGATTGTGCTTGGAAGGGGGTATAAAAGGAGGACTTGAAATACTCTCCAGGGTCCATTACATTTCTAATGCCAAGAGTCTTTCCTGTAGAGCATACAATTTTACTGATTTGCTTAATTTCTCATTTATGCTTAATGTTTTGCCGCTGTGTGTCAGATTGACTTCGTGGTAAGTTTCTTATATTTTTAATTTTTTTTTCCTGTAAACTGCATGAGTGCACTCACTCAAACAGTGTCCTGTTCCTGTAGCATCGTCTTCTTGCCTCGATGTAAAAGGAGGTAAAGGGGCGCCGAGCGTACATCTTCATGTACGGCTCTGTAACCCAGGCTTCTAGGGGATGGGCTCACTTCCCGGACAGTGTGGCTTGGAAAGAACAGTGGGAAACAAGAGGGGTAAGTGGGAGGCAGGCCGGGTTCACCTTCAGAATTCAAAGGCACCAGGATTGAGGGAAGTCTGGTTTATGAGGACTCTCTCCTCTGATGTCATTTTTGACATTATGCTGTGTCTCTGTGCGTCTTTGTCCTGTGGTTTACAGCTGAAGGCTGGGAAGACGTGCCTTGGGAGGAGACCTACCACAGGGCAGGTTTACTAGATTGAAAGTCAGATTCTGCTTTTGAAGGGTTTAGGGCACATGCCCTAACCTCCGCGAGCCTCCGTTTTCTCATTTTTAAGATGGTAGTAATAGCGGGGTTGGTTGGGCTGACATTAAATGAAATGATAATGATAACCTCAGGTCATAGAATCATGTAAAGTACTACAGTGCTTGGTACACAGAAGTCATCAATGTGTTCACTGAATTATTATTATTGCCACTCTTAGTCTCTGACTCTTTTACACCTCAGCGTTGGATTGTCTTCCCCTTTGCCCTCCCTCTGCATTATTTGCCCTGTGATCCTTGAGTCTGTAGAAGTTTGGAATCCTTTGTTTACCCTCAGGAGCTAAACATGCTCCACTCATCTTCTAGCTGCACCTTCTTGTCACAGAGAGTTCGGATTTTTTTTTCCTTCATCTAAATTTCTGCCTCTAGAATGCCTCACCAGCCACTCTCACCCATGTTTATCCTGCGTGACTCCCTCCACGTCCGTAGCTCCCTAGGATGGATTAGGATTAGCAGGACAGTACAGGCAAAGCAGAGGTGTCTTTAAAACTACGATTGGAAAACATGATAATCCGGCTTCCTGGGATGTAATGTTCAATCATTATATATTTTAAAAACTGAAGTAAGAAGAAATAGGTGTTCAGAATCATGCCACTCATTTTGTACTTTTTTTTTTTTTGCAAGCATAAGCATCATTATGCTCATCACAGGTGGGCCTGCTGCCAACCTCCTATTAGTTTGGGACATTTCCTATAGTCATCTAAAATTAAATTCTGTTATTCCAGTTATCACTGTGGGCCCCGTGTTTGTTTTGTACAGCCAACCTTCTGTTCTTTTTTCCTTTGGACAACTGAATAGGGATTAAGCTACAATAATTTCCATAGAACACGAGAAGTGGGTGAACCCTGATTATTCTGGAAACAAACTTAAATGCTATTACTTTTGTGGTCATGGTCAGATTGTGTGGCTCTACAATATTTTATCTAGAAAGTGATCTAGCTTCTTTTTCATATATTTACATAGAATATCTATCTGAATGAATGAAAACAATGTTAGGTAAAAGCTATTATTGATTGATCACTCTTTTTGAGGCAATGTACTGGGCACTTCACATCTCTTATTTTTTATGTAATCCTGATCATCTATTTCATAAGATCATTGTATAAAGCTCATTTTACAGATAAGGAAATTGAAGCTGTGAGAAAACTTGTCATTCCAGTTAAAATAAGGGAGCCTGATTTTACAATAACCCTGTATTTGTCTGTCTTTAATGACTGCCTTCCCCATTCCACCTTTTATTGAGTGATTCCTGCATTTTGGAAACCGTATTGAGCATTTTGCCAACCTGGTTTATTGGGGTCTGATCTTGGCGAGGTGTGCAAACACGAGGCCGTGTTATTTTTTTTTTTTCCTCTTCAGTCATTTCAGACATTCGAGGATGGGTCCCCTTTGATGCTAGCTCGGGCAGATGGCCCTGATTTCTGGGAATTTCCAGGGAGTATGAAGTCCACTCCAGCTGAGTTCACACCTTCAATCCCATATCCAATCTCACCCTTACACCCCTCTCTGCCTGTGTCAGGCCTTGGCCTGAGGGACTGGGAATGCCGTGTAGAGGGGGAATCCTGTGGTTTTTCACTGCTGGGGTCCAGGCCGCCCCTTTCTGGGTTCCTCTCTCTTCTGATGTATTGTATCAGGCAGGAATGAAATGGAAAATGGCAGAAACCCTTTTTAATTCACTGATGTTTGTAACAGCCCTGTCTTGGCTGTGATGCCGTCAGTCGGGTACGTATATGGGTTCTGCCTGGACTGCATCAGCTGGCCCTGCTCCTGGCCCTGAGGATTGTACTCCACAGTCTGGCTGGTGGCATCCCTCTCCGGCTGGCAGCCTCTGGATGGGGAGGGTAGTCCATGGGGACAACAACAGCACCCTCTCTTCCCTCATATCTCCCTCACCCACGGGAAACTCCTGTTGTTTGCCAAATGGAGGTATGGTAGGCTGCTCCTGTTGGCTTCTCTTTCTCTAATCTCAATCATGGTGGACCCTCTTCCCCAGCTGGGCTTCTGCAGAAAACGTGTCCTTTCTTTTTTTCTTGGAGGAGAGGGGAGGAATAATAACAGCACTATCTTCCTAGGCCAGTTCCTCACTCTTCTAAGGATTGCCTTTCAAATTTGTTTCATTCCTTTGCTTCTCAGTGGCAGTGACTCGAGTTCTTTCTTAAGTTCTGGTGGGAACGGCTACTCTTGGGGAACGTGGGAGCCTTAGGTCCCTGTTTGTCTTCAGCGTCGGTGCGCCTTGGCTCCAATCCAGAGGCAACTGGAGAAGTTCCAGGCAACACCTGATGACCCGGGCATTTCGTCATTCTGTCCTTGCAAGGACTCAGGGAGGGGGAGGATCTCCATTTTATGAGGGAGGCTAGTTAGACCCACAGTGATGAGGTCACTTGCCCCAAGTCTCACAGAGAGACAACGGTAAGACCCTATTCAAGGTCTGTCAGACTCCAAATGCTTCCTTTGCGAATTTGTCATCCGTGCACCATGTTGCTATCCCCTTGACTGTGCGAGAGGTTAAGACGTGTTTACTTTTAACACCGTGCCCATGCACCAAGTAAGAACTGTGAGTTATGCTTTTTGCTCGGTGTCTTCCTTATAGGAACAGATTACCCACTGTGGTGAAGTGCTCCGACAAGGAAGCACTCGCGGTGCAAACTGCTGGATCTTCTCGTTCTCCTCCTTTGTGTTTTTCACCCACAGCTTCCTTATTAGTGACGGCCTCCAGTTCCGGGTCCGCACCGTGAATGCTGATGTTAGTGGTGGCTTATGCCAGAAACGGTGTCTAAAAGCTGCAGTTATTTTAAAATGCAATTACACCAGGGGCACAGACGGCGCGTGCTTGTGTGTATGCATACACAAGTGCATTCGCAGATGGTTTAAAAATGGTCTCCGTATGCTAATTTTGTTTTCTTCTTAGTTACAGGGATGCAGAAAGGAATTTCCACAATATCTCCAACAGATGCTCCTATGCAGACCATTCCAACAAAGAGGAAATTGAAGATGTCTCAGGAATTCTTCAGTGCACTGCTAATATACTCGGTATATTAACTATATATTAATATGGGTGAGAGAGAATGAGGGGAAGGTGGAAAGTAAGGTATAAACATTTCATTTTCTACTAACGGGAGGTTTAGAGGTGAAGGCAGAGGAAGATGAAGACCTTGTTTTCAAGTGACTTGATTTTGACACACTCCTGGAGATGTTTAAGTGCAAATTACATGCCTGCCATTTACTTGGAGGTTGAAAAACATAGTAATAAGAATACTCACATTCCAGGGAAACCTGGAATTGGTATGTTGGTATTAGCCTCCTGTGATCCATATTTTTCTGGCTCTTAACCTCGACTGAAATTGGGGATCTTCCTCTCTGAGCCCGTGATTTCTAATATCTTATTATTTCTAATATTATTATCACTCTGTTACTTGTGAGAGGCCATGGTTGGAGCGGGAGGGTGGCTCACACATACTCCTAGTGGACTCAACAACTCAGAGACAGTGAGGCAGGTCATCTACTGAGATCTTTGTCCGTGTGTGTGTGTGTGTGTGTGTGTCCGTCTTGAAGATCCTAGTGTTCGTGACAGCAGAACTATTGCTGGATGCTCCCAACAGGGCTAAGAGGTGATGTTCTAAGGTGTACCGAATCATGCTGCCTTAAGGCACCGTGAGTGAGCTGTGCCATCTCACTATCTGATGTTCTTGTGTGTGATACCTACGTTTTATTATATGCAAAGTAGATATCATTGCAGGGGTATTTTTTGCCCTAATGTCTTACATGGGTTTTTAGTTAAAAAAAAAAAAAAACTTTTTCAATTTTTGGGGGAATCCTCCCTTTTCCTTATTACTCAGACAGGGATCTGCGGAGTGTTGGTAGGGAACAACAAGTCTTAGTGACCGACTCTGTGTGGAACTCAGAATCCCCTTTCCCTCAGGGTCTGATGATGAAGACCCCGCAAACTTGTTTGCCTGACTTTTTCCCCTTAGAGTAAGTGCTCTCTTGGGAGACCTCGGAGTCCCTCCTACAAACAGATTCCAGGTGACCTCAAACCATGAGTGTACCAGGTTTTTCTAAACATACCTGACTCCCAGAGGTAGATCTGGCTTTTACATTGGAGCCTTGATAACACCTACCCAGTGATAACATTTTCATCCTGGGTAAACAAAATATTCTATTAAGAACTTGGACCTTTCGTGAGGGGTGGTTTGTCTATAATATAAGCAAGGGAGTGATGGACAGTGAAAAGGAAGCCCAAGGATTTACTTACCTTGGTCTTACTATGACTGCAGGGATGTCCTGCTACCCCAGTAAACTTAATTATTACAGAAGAGGAGGGATGAGAATAAATGGGGGCTGGGGTTCGGCATTACCCAAGAGCTTTTTACAGTTTTTTTTATTTTCAAGAATTGTCCATCAGTTAAAAAAAAAAAAAAAAGACCAAAATAAGGTTGCCAACTTCGTCAAGCAAGGATAATTTGTTAAAGTGATCATGTTTTAATGCCACCATTTTATAAAAGAAGGGACATTTTAACTCTCTCCAAAATAGAGATTATTATATATTAAATATATATATTATATATTAAATGCCTTTAAATGGAATTTAAATGGAATAAAATGGCATTTAATGGAATAAATGGGCATTTAAATGGAATAAATTTAGATTGATGACAAAAAAAAAAGAAAGAAAAAAGGAAAAGAACCCAGCTCCATCACTAACATTTATTTCTCCTGAGACATGGTGGGTTAAGATGATGCCGCACAAAGGGATGCATGAGAATCTTGGCAGAGGGATGTATGCTATTTTGAAAAGTGGTTCTTGACTTACTCAGTCTGTAAATATTTCACTGCCCTTCACACCTCCTTGCCTTATGCTCCCCACCTTGCCAATGAGAGGGGGTGGGAAGTGTTCACAATAAATCTATGAGGATGCTAAAGACATCTGTACTGGCTTGCACACGGGTGTGCCTGGAGTCGCATGAACTCTAGGTCCGACCGTTGGGTGAGGTAACCACCAGGGGGCGCTGTTGACCAAGCACAGCTTCGTTGCCTGTGGGATTCCCTCAGTAGTGAGTGAGAAGAGCCTCAGGCAGTGCTACCTGATGGTATTAGGGGAAGAGTGGTTTTAATAGACAAGAGAGATTAGATTTTTATTTATTTATTAGAGAACGAGAGAGAACGTGAGCCAGAGGGAGAGGCAGACTCCCTGCTGAACAGGGAGCCTGTTGCGGGGCTCCATCCTGGGACTCCAGGATCATGACCTGAGCTAAAGGCAGACACTTAAACAACTGAGCCACCCAGCTGCCCTGAGAGATTAGATTTTATTTTCCCCTTGGTACTAATGGGTTGTTCTTAAAATGCAAAAAGTGTAATATTGTAAAACTTAAATTTCTGAAGAATAAAATGCAATCTGTTGACCAGAGACTGGCATGGATCCGACAGGCAATGATGTGCCTGAGCGTTATCTTTTCTCTTTTGAGTTATGTCTTTTCATGACTCTGGCAATACAGACCGCCCAAGGACAAAGGTAACAGCTTTACTAGTCAGAGTCAATGAAAGATTTGTTTTCAACAAGTCACTGAACTACGATTGATCTCGGCTTGCTCAGATTTCCTCTTGTTAAATGACATTTAAATTCTGTGCAATCATTTATGAGAATGCAAGAATCAATCAACTCCATGAACAGAAGAGCAGGACATGAGAGGGGAAGCCATCTTTTGAGTGAGGGAGTTTGGCTTGGGGATAGAGAGTCTCAACCACGGTCAGAGAATCCTTCTAGGTGGGTACAGAGGGTGGTTTTCCAACCGTATGATCTACATTCATTGCCGTTGGGGAGCATGGTTAGAAGATGGGTGTATTGGGATGGGGGAATACATACTTCTCTCTTCTTCTTAATAAGGAGGTTGTGGTAGAGACGAGAAATGTGTGTGTTCACTCATCTGTATGTTACTTACACTTCACTTATTATCAAGAAAGATTGAAAGTCCTTAGGTCAGAAATTAGGACTAGCAAAGCCCATTTTTCTTCTTTCAAAATGATCCTGTCTATCAGCTTAGTATGTACCCCTCTAGAGGGTTTGATCATGTGCTGGCTTTTTAGGTTGAAGAGAGTAGGAGAACTCTTGCTGCAGAAAACCAGCTTGGCCTCTGTCCTGTATTTGCTCTGTTGCTTCCTCCCTAGGACTCCCTGGAAACACATGTGCATTACAGAGTGGTTCATGCCCCTGCTAGTAATGGGACAGAATTGTTTCCCCATCAACATTTTGCCATTTATTTCTCTCTCTCTCTTTTTTTGCCTTAGAAACTGGTTGTTGCTATTTTTTTTGCCTCATCATTTACAAATTAGGGATATTAAGTACAGACTGCTCAGAATCCTGTATTTGCCTCGTTTCGGTTGGTGCCCTGGACGTCCCTGTGTTAATGTGGGACCATACTCCAAAGAGGCTTTTAAACTCTGGGAAAGGCCATACAGAGAAATATAGCTGTGAACTCTGCCCTCCCTGCTGGAGGCTTTCTGTGTGAAATTTACTGCTTTATTTGGAATATATCTTCTCACCAAAAGGATCTAATTTTAGTTGCCTGAAAAATTATGGCTTTTCCAGTCGTAATCTGCAAAGCCCATTTTTAGCTCCAATTAAAAGTTGTAAAATGTATTTATATTCTTAGGTGCGACATTGAGTATTTTCTTGGATATCGAAATGCTTGAATGGTACAAAGGAGTATCTATGAGAAAGCATTAAAGGATCAATATCGTGATCCGTGTTTGTTGCTAAAGTGTTAGCACCTGGCCCTGTGGCTTAGGTGATATTGGGGGACAGAGATGGAGGAGGGAGAGTTAAGGGAGAAGTACAATAAATTGCATAGCTTCCTTACATAATGCAATGCCAAATAAATGAAGGTTTTGGCTATTTCAGTTGTTTGTTTTCTTTTGGCTTTTTCTTATCAACCCAGTCAGGGTCTAGGACATTCAGGATATGCCTGACAACAGAAGGATGGATACCAAACTACCTTCATGTGCTCAACTGTTTCATTGCAACAAAGTAACCCTCTCTGTTCAGAAGGGCATCAGTGATGTGTCTCCCTAAATAGGCAAGGTGAAAAGGCCTTAATCAACTCAGAGCAGTGCCTTCCCCAGCCTCCTTTTAGCCTTGGAGATAGAAAAAAAAAGATGTTAACGTGGCCTTAAGTTTGGTCCTGTACTCTGGTGGGGCTGTTTCAGTCCTGGCCAGTTTGCCTTCTGTTGAAGGGGTTATGGGTGTGGTGGTTGGAGAGCGTCTGGTGCTGTAGGACTGAGGAGATGGTGTAGGAAAAAGGTCCTTGCACAGTAGGATAGAAATCAGAACTGAGTGCTCTGGGTAATTCACTTGGGAATGAAGAGCAAAGTCGGGGTTGCTGTTTGAGTAACAGCATTTATTTAGCAAGTATTCACAAAGTATAGTTGTCTGCTACTTTTGCTAAGTGCATTTTCTCTCCAAATACTCAAGAACATGAACGGTGAAAGAATATTCATCCAATTTTTCTCTCTTTTAAAGGTTCTCTGGGAGAGTAGGGCTTTATTGTCTCCAGAAAAACCTTAGCATGTCTTAAGTCAGAATCAGGAGTGATGTCATGGGGATATTTGTTGGGAAAGTGCTAATGAGGAGGATGGAGGATCTGGCCTTTGGGGTTAGACCTCACAGCCTCTTCCTGGCATCAGGGACTCTGAAATGCTCTGAAGGCAGAGCTCTCTATCGCGTGCTGCCCATTCCAGAATCATTAGCGGATATAGAGCTTTTTGGTTTTTATAAGCAATAATTTGTTGTTTATAGGTTAACTTGTATGTACTTTTTGGTTTATATCATGATTTGGAACGTGCATTTAGCAGCCTTCTAAATGGCCATAAAACTGTGAAGGATTAGTTAGCCTTACTTAGGGTTAAGATTACCTTGGGGGTTTTCTTGGAATAACTCTTACATACTCCAATTCACTAAACAATTACACGATTCATGTATTTAGAGTCTTGGAGAACGAGTTGGTGCAATAACCACCTAACATTTTCATTGATGAATT